CTAATTTGAGAACATCCAGTAACGAGACAAGCGCTACTGTTAGTAATAAAAGACAATATACGGAGGGTTCAAAAAACTATTCAATCACTTAACATGCGCCTATAGATAGATAAAAAGACGAATAAGGAAAATTAGTAAGATATAAAATTACCAGACTAGAAGAACAAATCGGATACGTGAACCTCACCTTATTAAGCTCTGCTGCATATTGCTCGCTCTGAAAGTCAATCACTTCTAGGCTGCATTTATCTCGCAGTGGTTCATTCATACATGATAGCTGAGCACTGCTTCCTTCATATGAAGTAAGGGCCAACACTGCTCGCTTAGCAAGCAACATATTCACATCTAGACAGCACAACTCCTACTACACAGGATAAAAATTAGCAAGTCCAGAAACTCACGTTTTGCGCAATCAAATGGTGTCGAGATATTTCTGTTCATGAGGTAATCCTTCTTGGAACCATCTCTTTTGATAAAAGTTACTATGATTTTATCAATAGTATTTCCATGCTGATTAACACGGCTTTGAACATCATCAAATAGTGTACTGTCAAACTCCATTTGTGGAACTCGCAACACTTCTAGAATCAACAAAAAAGTCCACAAAAAAATTTTGAAGGCTAGGGAAATTACCTGGTTTTGCGGATGTGGCAACATTTCGACAATGATTTGTCGCAAGGCTCCGTAGAGTTCGCAACATTTGGATTATTCGTAGAATCTGGAATGTAAATTCTGTTGAAAATCATGAAATTCAAGAAAAGCATCATGGCAACTGAAACGGATGAAGTGCAAAAATCACCTTACAACCATGAAAATATCATAACATTTACAAATAAGGGTATTAATTACTATTATCAGCACTTAGATATTGGTTTTGATAAAAACTAATGATCAGCCAGCTGTGAAGACAAAGCAGTATCATAAACACTGCGAAAACAAGATTAGATCGTGAACAAAACTTGCATCAACTTGATATTCTTGCAGTGCAGTCTGCTGAACCTACTTGATTTCCTTGATGCAAACATAAAAAGATCAAAGGCTTCAGCTACAATTTTTGGTCGATTTACTTCGCATTTTTGAATATAATGTGTAAGGGTACCTACACCTCATCGAGTGCATTTCAAAATTGCTAGGCCTGAACACTACACGTCAGCTGTATAACTACAGCCGAAGATGTTTCTAGTTCCTCCATAGAAGCGGTTTGTTAACAGTAGAGCATACTTATAAAGTAGTTATCATATCAGCCATCAGTCAGTCAACTGCTCCATCGTTGATAGACCCCTCACATGAGAAATGGCCGGAGGCGCATGGATATAACATCCTATCTCAGTTCTGAACAGCAGCAGTTATAATCTCAGACAATAGCAGCAATGACTTAGTGATTTCTTCTCTCTTACTTTGCGATATTTTGCAAGAACATGTATTTGAAGTTCTTAAATCAAAGAATTGTAGTCTCCATGTTCTTTCATCCTTGAACCGGGGCATGTTAGTGGGTCAGTTGTTTACAAGTATTTTGCCGAAACCCGGTTTTAGGTGGAATCTTTATTGCCTGACGTTTCGACATTTCCGTCTTTAAGGCCTGAAACGGATCTTACTTTTGATCTATTACACTATACCATCAAAGGTCTCCTCTCACACCGCGTAGCTAGACTTCGTCCAAGGTACAACGCACTGAGACCACTGAACAACGGACTAACCCACCTTTTATTCCATCGCTTGTTAATAGTCCGCACTGTCGTAACGGACGTCGCTGAGTGTCACTCAGCTAGTCCGGTCTATTTATAGTGCGGTTAGCTTACAAAGTGATGCGAAAGGGAGGAGATCACTCGTTATGGATAAGCATTCATTTCTGTTATTCATACCAGGATTTCCAATGGAACCATGCTGCTTCTAACACTTTCCTTGCTGAAATCTCAGTCTCATAGGCCAGGATTACACATTTAACTTCA